ATGTCGATGAGTGTATTATGCCCTCCCCCCTGCTCCCGTACAAGTTTGGGGTGGAGTAAAAACATTTTGATGGCATGACTGTATACTCTGCAGTGTGTAGGTTTTTTTTTTAAAAATACCTAGAAATTTGCTTCAAGACTTGTTCAGTAACTACTGCACTGTGATCTCTGTCCATTGTCTGTATTTTTTACATTTTATCTTATTTAGTAAATATCTTAAAAATTATACATGTATACTCCATTAGCTATATCATAATCATCATGCTGCATTATTTCTGCCTGTGGAAGTTTATGAATATTTGGGTTATTTTCCCTAAAGAGTTTGTCATTGAGATTTTTTTAAGCAAATTTTATTGAAACTCTATCCCTAGATAGATTGCCAACTAAGGTAAAAGAACTTATGGCTTCATGTTGGCATGACCATCAACGGCTTCCAATTTCACTTACAATGCTTGGGTCAACTAACAATATGGTTTCCAGGCACTTTTCAAGGGTACTACTCACTGGGATTATCTCCCCAGGCTGAAATTATGAAAAAGTCACCTGCTTGACAAATCAACCCTGGTTAGATTTGAACTTAGTTTCCTGGTCAGTATTCTAACTCTCTAACTACTCAACCACATGCCCATATATATGTCACCATAATTAGAATTTATTTTGTAATATTTGGAGAAAAAAATTGTGCTAATCTTTCTAAAATATACACACACACATGTATAAAATATGTGCACACATTCAGGGATGTTTAAAAAATATCAGTCACACCTTCAAGTGTACCCTCACTTCTAATATTTGGTCAGATTTTGGGAAATGGTTTGAGTCAAGACTTCAGCACCCCCATGTATCTTCAAGATTTTTCTTTTTCATTTATTCCCCCCCCACACACACACACACACAATATATAATTTGTATGTGAATGAACCTAACAGCCCTGATATGATTAAGTCATCAAATGGATTGGATTTAGTTTTCATTGTTGCTTTTTTTTTTTTTTTTTTAACACTCTGTTGTAAATGCTTTGGAAGAAAGAACATAACTGGCCTAATTAAAATCAAAATCTTTTACTTCACTAACTACAAATATATATTGTAACAACTATAAGCTTTGCAAAGGTGCTTTCAGACTAAATAAATCTGTACATAGTTGACTTTAGGACAAGCTAGTTCAGTACCTGTCTATTTGTTGACAGCAAGATCGTCACATTTCAAATCTAAATTGTTTGTCCTTTTTAAGATACATTTATTAGAGAATATATTGATATAGAAGTCATTTTTTATGACTTCATATGCTGGCTTGTACTGTTTTCCTGTTAACCAGAGATTGTTGCCAGACAAAGGGAGGTTAAACCTAGGTGTCTATTACAATTTCATTCAATTTGTGTCTGCAATGACAGACCTTAAAATATTTTTTTTATAAAGCTTAAGAAAAAAGCTTTAAAAAAATAATTATCTATTATCAAATAATTTCTGAAAGATTCAATAATTCTTTATAATTAGCTGATTTTTTATTTTTTTTTATTTTACTTTTTTTGAGAATTTAAAAAAAAAACACTTTTTCTTTCAATTTTGTGTTGCTCAGATCAGGGTAGATCCAGACTGAGTAAGAGAGGAATATATTATTTCATGATTTATTCCAAACTGTGCATGTACTTGTGTGTATATTAAATGTCACAAGGACACTAAAATCATTTTTGCATAACATACAAAGATTGTCCTAGGGATGATGATAAACTACATCTGGCAGCAAGACTTCTGATTGAGAGATTAGTGGTTTTGAGGAGCATGGAACCACCTCTTAATTGCTGTTATCCCCAGGTTTGCCCTGACCTGGGGTGGTAGTACCTGTTAGGGTCCCAGCTATGGGCAAAGAGTGACCCCCCTCCAAACAAAAATCAACAGTACATTTTTATAATAAAATGATCACCAATAGATTTAACACTAAAAATAAAAAATATATATATACATTTTTATAGTAAAAATACCAACAATATATTTTATGATGTACAAACTATATATCTAAAAAAAAAAAAAAAAAAAAGATACCTTTACCCTGAACGTATAAAATTACATACAAAATATGTAGATTTTAGCTTTAAATAACCCATAGAGGTGTTGAAATGCCGTTAAACAAAATCAACCAACACACACATACATTACATCTGCACAATCACACACAATGTATGATAAACAGAGATTCAGCTTTGCCTTTATAATAAAGATTTAAACATTTCTTCAATTTAATTTAACCTTTTAGTGAAATCACTGTAATTTGCAAGTTTAAATGTGTTTAATGAAACTTTTCTCTTTATTTTCTTTTTTTTAATAAGCAAACGGTTTTTTTTTTTTTTTTAGTTCTCTAAATTATTAAAACCTCATCAAAAAAATTCCATTTAGACATAATTCAAATTTTCACTTTGTTCTTGTTAATGCAGACAAAATTATCAGCAGTAGTGAAAGGTTGCCTCATTAAATGCAGACCTTGGCATTTATTTTAAATTGAATGTAATATTTTGACATGTTCTCTTATAAAAAGATTCTTATATGGCTATTCAAATTAATTCTTAGCTTCCTGTCCTACATGGCATTTTTCCTGTGCCTAATTCTCAGCATTTTTATCATTTAGGCAAACCACAAAATTGATGGTTGGTATTTGATGGTTTTTGTACATAGGGTTAGATAACCAACTTTTCAGCCTTTTTCAGTATTCCTGTAGAATACAGCCAGGTGGTATTCTTTTAGAAGGTTAAAATCAATGAAAAAGAATAATTTCTTCATGTTTTTAACTCCTCTCTCTCTCTTTATCTTAGAGGAGTACTCACCCTCCAAATCATGTTGTATTGTGAAGAAGTGTTTATGCTAGATAACCATGACACATTTAGTTCTGGATATGATGATAAACTACATCCTGCAACAACAATACATTTTATAGAAAAATGACCAACAATTCATTTTATCTGTAGTAGAGTTGGTCGGTTTGGCAATTTGTTTTGGTATCATTTTCGGTTTTTTTTTTTTTTTTCTTTCTTGATACCACAATTTTTGATTTGGCTTTTTAGTTTTTATTTTAGTATTTTTACTTTCTAAGGAAACCATTCATTTTCTTGTGTTATGATACCATTTCCAGTTGATGTCGGATTTTATTTGAGATTGATAAATTGGCAACTTAGTCCTTTCAACTCACAATTTCTCATGTATTTCTGGTCCAATCTTAAAAATATTCATATGGCTGGAAAGAAAATATAAAATCTTTCTAAATATGTAATTTGTATGTGCTTTTATTCATTGATTTTTTTTTTTTTTAACAGCAAGTTAAAATGGTATTTTACTTTGAACAGCTGAAAATGCAAAATGTTTTTTTTTTATTTTGTTTTTTTTCGAGACTGAGTTTTACTCGTTACTTTGTTTTGCAGAATCAAAATGACCAATCTTTATCAATATCCTTGAAATTGTACACTCAATTAGAAGACACCTTAAACTTTAGACTATAACCAGGAAGGTGTTCATTTCTTCTCTGACTTGTGGAAGCAAATTTCTTCAAAAATTATAAAGAAAAAAAAAAGTGAAAATAGTAATGTGTGGTAAAAGAACTTTCAAATTATTAAAACTAATTATAATACTATCTGACACTGACAGACACTTGTTTTCAAGCAATTATTTTATTTAGAGGCAAAGAATTCTCCAGTTTATATCCAGAAATGTTGTTTGCTTTTAAAAAGCCAAAAAATGAAACCCCTCATGTTTAACCAGCATTTCTTTGATTTTAATTTCAATTGAGTAACTGACTTCTTTGGCTAAAGGAAACTTTAACATTTCTGTTACAAGATAAAGTGGTTTTGGATGGGAAGCTAATGCTTCATATCATGGCCTCAGTGGAAGGCTTAAGTAAGGCTGATCAATGAGAGACTTTAGTCTGACTGTACAAAGGATAGAGAAAGCTTAAAGAATAGAGAATCAGAGCCACAACCAACTGGAGCTAATCAATGGGCCTTATTATTTGCTCTATTGTTTCATGTTCTAAAAATAAAGGTGTCTTTTTGGTCAAGAACAAAAATAAACAAGGTACAATGCTTTCTTCCAGTCGTTGGTATAAATTACATCTGTAGCAATACAAGTCAGCTTGAGTTGTTAAATTGAAAATGGCTGGACCTGTCACAAAAATGGATTTGGAACAGTTACTTTCAACTGATGGTTATCATCAGTAAGTAAAGTCAACTTCAGAGGAAGAGGTGACAAGACAAAGATAATTGCTATTTGTAAAACTGACCATCCTAAGAAAAGATACACGCAGAGAGACAAAGCAGGACTCTGAGAATGGACAGAGAAGACAGCCTTTAGACTGTGCACCTCTGCCTCATCTCAACTTGACTCACTTATAGCAATAGGTTACAACCCAAAAATAAAATCTGGTTTACTGCTAGAAATTATTTGTTTCTCATTCATAAGTAACAATCTGGTTTGATTGAAACATTTGAGTGGAATAAGCTGCACCCTGTCAACAAATCTGGTATCTGATCTTGACCTACAACACATCCATACATTTTTCTGTACTTCTAGAAGTTGCCTTCAGGAAATTTGACATTGATTGGTCAAATAGTATAATAATGTAACCAATAGTTTCACTTGTCAATGTGGATGTGTAGGTGATGTAATGGATAGTGGTTTGGAATGAGAAATCTGAGAGCCAAGTTCATATTTCAGTCTGGTTTGTTGCATTCATTTGAATGAAAATATCCTTGGGAAAGGTATGAATCATTTCCCCACCAGCTATAGGTTAAATACTAGCACTTATATTTTGCCAGTGAAATAGTCACACACAAAAAATAATTTTTACAGTTCAAAATATTTGTTTTAAATAATACACAAAGGGTTGATAAACTATAAAAAAAAGCAAAGCAACAATTACTTGTCAATGTTCCATTAAATGTTATTAAAATATAAAGAAATAAATAGTAGAGTATGAAACAAAGCATTTTATTTTTTTATATTTTTATTTTTTTTTCAGAAATCCCAGTAGATTGGAAGAAACTTTTCCATGTCTGACTTATAGTTTGCAGCGTCGGACATTCCACCAGTATCCAGATGTTACCCTACGAGTGCTTATATCGAGCAGGTGATAATCTCAATCTCTCTCTCTCTCTCTCTCTCTCTCTCTCTCTCTCTTTTTTTTTTTTTTTTTTTTTTTTAATATGCTATCTTTCACGTCATTGTGACTGAAGGTTTGAATTTACTGGTGATCACGTCAGATTATGCACTCTCTCTTAGAAACTGTAACTAAGGTCTGCTTAGCATAGTTGCAGTATGAACCACAGGTTGTCTCTGTGGGTGTTGAAGAAACACGTATGCCTGAGAACGTGTCTGCAACAGGTATTATATAGCCACACTTAACAGACAGGTATACTCAGATGCAAATAGTTAATTGTAATTGACTCTTATATAAATTTTTTATGACTTGTTGACAGGACTTGAAACTGAAAATCCTTCTTAATTTAGAGAGTGAATTTAATTTGTATCCAAGACTTTCAATATTAAAAATGTAAATGAAGGGCTCGAAGCTCACAAAATAGATGAAATTCATGGTTTAGTGCTTTTTGTTTTCTTGAAAATGTTATATTATATATATATATATATATATATATATATATATATATATATATATAAAATGTTATTTATTAAAAAGAAAAGTGGATTTTAAAGTTTAAATGTTTTTAATGAAAAAAATGTTTTAATAAGTAGAACTAATAGTTTATTTTTTCTCTAAATTATTAAATCCTCATCAAAATATTCTGTTAAGGATTGGACATAATTTAAATTTCACTTGTCTCTTGTTAATTGAGACAAAATTATCAGCAATAGTGAAAGGTTGCCTCATTAAATGCAGACCTTGGCATTTATTTTAAATTGAATGTAATATTTTGACATGTGTTCTTATATAAATCTTTCTCTCCCTCTACTCTGGTTATATTTTCATATTATAAAAGTAATACTTAACAACTTATAAGATTGAAGTTTATAACACTATTTACAAATGAACTGTTATCCTCATCTTTATTGTTATCACATTGTTTCAGCTGTTGTGCCCTCCAGCTTACATCAGATGTATGTTGATTTAGGTAACCTACAGAGAATTTTGAACTGAACTCCTTTGTTTACAGGGGATGGGGTAAATTGTTTTCATATTGTCCTGCTTTAATCCATTACATTAGTAGATTAAAGTGTTGGTTCATGAATTTGGTGACATAGTAATTGTGAGTTCAATCCCTGGGCCAGGCAGTGTGTTCTTGAACTCTGAGGCAATGGGTGAGCAATAACTGAGCAGTTTTAAAAATAAGAACTAGACAAGGTATCCCTAGACATGAGCAGTGGAACAAGAACAGTCTACATTCATAGATTAAATATAAGGTTCAGTTTGGAATGTTACCTGGATTAACATGCACCTAATGAAGGCTGGAGGGCACATGGCTGAAACCTTGTAATAAAAACATCAAAGATGAGGACAAATATCAGCATGTAAATAGTGTAAATAATAGGTCCTCATCCCAGAAATTCAGGAAGAAGAAGGATTTTAATAGTATAGAAAAAAATAACAGCATGATTCAATGTCTGCCTGTAAATATGTCTGATGCATATTACATTTGAAGAACTGCTGCAATACAGTGTGTCAGTAGAGTATGGAAGAGAACCAGACTAACACAAAAAAAGATCTTGACAAGGGTGTGTCTGGTATAAGGAAGAATTGTTCTCCTGAATAATTGGCTATTTGGAGAAGGAAATCTCTCAACATAGACAACATCACTACTAAATTTGCTTGGCAGTTGTACTAAATTCCATGAGAATGATGATGCTTGCCCATCAACAAATTGTGACTAGTCTCTGACGGTAGCTACAGATACTTGATACAGACATTTTTCAATGTTGGAAGCTTTGTTGGTGCTGACAAGTTGGGAGAGTCTTACTTGAATTTGAAATTTTTAATTTTTTTTTTTTTTTTTACCTGACTATTGTTCTATTCAAATAAAAAGGATAATTGGCATTATGTTATCCATTTAGCTGTTTAATGACGTGCAAGAAATATAGAAATTTCAATGAGTTGTTATAAAATTTAAAAAATTTTACTCTTTAGGGTACAAGATGCCGTCCAGCAATATGCAGAAAGTACATTTAGTACAATTCCAGGTGAGTTCACTTCTTTTTTTTTTTTTTTAATATAAAAATGTACTTAAAATATTTTTAAAAATGGTTAAATCATAGCTGATATTTTTCATTTAAACTATCAGTGTCCTTGACCCTATGTGGCAATGATATGAGTCTGAAGTGTTTGGGGTTTTTTTTATGGCTAGCAGTAAAGTTTGTGAAATGAGGTTTTTCAAAAGCAGCCACCCACTTGATCCAAAAAAAAAAAGAATAAAATAATTGATAAATAAATGAAAATTTTGGGAACAAGTTTTCCCTTGCAATCTTATATAGGTGGGGTCCCAGTTAGTCACAGGGAGGAGTCATCGGTCTAACTAGTTACATTGGTAGCTGTTGCTCAGGAGAAGTAAGATGTGAAGAGACCTATGTGCCACCAACATTCACCTCAGAAAAAGTGTGTTGTAGAGTAGGACTCTGCGTAATTCCTTCTCTTCCCTACTACTGTGATAATGGACTGCTCCTAATAAATATGGCAAGTTGCCACATTAGAGTAGGATTTGAGTAGTAGTTGATTTTTTTTATTTTATTTTTTTTTCATTTTATGTATGAGTATTTAATAAATCTCTTTTTCTTTGCTTTCCCTACCTAGTCTTCTGTCCTTTTGATACTGTCTCTAACTACGACCCTCCTAATTCTCGGGTATTTTGAACAAAGACACCATTACAACAGGGCTAGGTTCAAACTCACCCATTGAATAAATAATCAAATTATGGAAAACAAGATTAATGTTCTCATTTCTTGTGGCATTGATTTCACCTTCTGTTCCTTTGTAAAGGTAAATCAGCCTTTCTCAGATTTCTTTTTTTTTTTTTTTGTGCACATAGTAACTTATTTAAATGAGACTGTTCTTAAACTAACAAGACAAAAAAGATCTTTTGATGGGATGACAATTCTGAATTGAAAAGATCAATTACAGAAAGAGGCAAAGAAATGGGAACTAAAAATGGGAGGAAAAAAACACTAAACAGCCAGCAAAGAAAATAAAAAGCTAGTTAATATCAACATCTTTTGGAAATTGGAAACCAAATCAATGAAACAAGACAGCACAGATTTTATGTCGAAATGTGGAAAAAAAAGAGCAATGACTCCTGATAATATCATACAATCAAAGCTAAAACAGTTTCAGTCATATTTCAGTCTTGACATACCCAATCTGAAGATGACAAAGGAAAAAGAATATATACTAGAATAATTTAAAATGTTATAAAACAAATAACAATGAAACTAGTGGCAAAGAAGTCAAAAAAGCAACAACAAAATTAAATAAAACATCATTTGACATTGAGGCTAAAGTCTTGAAAGTAGCTTACTCTGTCTCTGAATTCAAAGGTAAATTCCTCAATTCTCTAGGGTGAATTCTAGAATGAAAACTGATGTAATGGAATAACCTGTCACCCCCATGAGTGACTATAGGCAGTAACTATAGTCACCCCCATGAGTGACCATAGGCAGTAACTATAGTCACCCCCATGAGTGACCATAGGCAGTAACTATAGTCACCCCCATGAGTGACTATAGGCAGTAACTGCCTATACGCATCAGTAAGTCAATGGCCTACAGAGTCTAGCTGGGATCTGTTGAGTATGACTCACTCACACGAGAACTACCAACCTTCCAATAGTAGCACTCACTACTAGATTGACTTGCAACGACCTTGTGCATAACTGTTACCTTTATTCTTATTGTACTGTTTTTTTTTTTTTTTTTTTTTTTTTACAATAAACCTTTAATTATTTTATCTACCATGTTTTTCAAGTAGATATTCCTATTATCATGGAATATAACAAAAACATAACATGAGGATTTGATTTTCCAGTCATTGAAAAGCTGAGAGAGAGAGAGAGTCCTGTTGTATGTTTACAGCTGTAGATTTCTAAAATTCTATCAAAATGAATTTGGACATTTCAAAACCTCAGCAATATGCAGATTTGTTAGTCCGAATCATTGGCTTCAAAACTTTGGAAACTCTAAAAAAACCTCATTAATGAAAATATTCTTACAGACATCTAATTTTAGAATTTAGTTTAAGGACAATAATTAGTGAATTTGATTTAAAAAATTTTTATTTTAGATGGTTTATTTATTGTAAATACCTGAGTCAAATCATTCTTCAATAGTTTTGTGTCAGATGATACTGATTCTCTGCTACAAGATTTACAATGCCATATTCAGTATTTCTTGAGGTTTTAGATTCGATTGTACGATATTATCACAAGTCTTTGTTCTTTTTTTTTTTTTTTCCAGATTTCAACATAAAATCTGTGCTGTTTTGTTTCATTGATTTGGTTTCCAATTTCCAAAAGTTTCCATGTGTGACATCTTTCCATCAAAAAGGGAAATGTCATTCAAAAATGAAGTAGCATAAAAATTTCATTAATAAAAAGTTTTCTGTTAGATTTTATTGCATAAAGATTATTTAATCCCTTGTAAATTATTTTCTTGAGTTGAAGCACAGGCTGATGTCTTTCTGATGTTTAAATCTGTACATAACTATATCGGCAACCATTAGTCTTTCTGATGTTGTCTATTACAATATCTGAAAATTTGCATATTGCAATAATTTGTGTTGTGTTTTCTCCTTCAGACCAATCCAATAGAAGTCATATCCTAAGTATGAAATGTGATCACTGCTAAGACAATGTATCTCTTGCCTACAAACATCAAAACTTGCTTTGCCCCATTTCTCTAGAATGAAATCATCTGAACCTCATTGGACATTGATTTGTCCTGTTTTCCATCTGATTGATTTTGTAGTCATTTTTTTTTGATAGGATAGCTGGCTGACTAAACCTTTCCTTACCAGTAACAGATTTTTTGACCTTGGTATGTTGAGTCATTGAGAGACACAGCCTTGTGTAACCTGTGATAAAAAATGTGGTATTCATTTGAATTCTTTGGTATTGTCATGAGGTTAATGTGGTTTTTTACAGCAGTTTTCTTCTTGATAGATAACCATTAACATGATTAATGTGCTTTCTGGCCATTAAGTTTTATATTGGTTTTCTTTCTCTGAGACAAATTGCCTTCACTGTGACTAAGAGCGTTTGTTCCCTGCACACACACTTTTTATATATATATATATATATGACCACTTATTATAACATTCTTACACTGCTCACTTTGATTTGAGTCAAATATTAAAGCTTGCCAGAACTCATTAAATTTAGAAATTAAAATCAAGACCAGTTTGTTTATTTTTTTAAACTTAGGTTTCATATTTATTTACTCACTGACAAGGAAATTTAATAGAAATAATACAAGCTTTTCACCCCCACTTTCTTTTAAAAATTCTTTAAGAAAAACTTCTTTATTCATGGGGATGTACTAGTGGTGTAATTGATAGTGACATGGAATGGGGAAAATGAGTTCAAATCCCAGTTGAGTTTGTTACATTCACTTCCTTGCATATAACTTTGGGAATGCTATGAATCCATATTTTCTTCCACCCCAGCTATGGGTTAAATAGCACTTTTATCTTGAAAAATTATTATCTCCCAAGAAATTATTAATGCAATCTTCATTTGCAAGAAAATTATTATTCTTATAATCCCAAACATGTTTCACCTTTAAATAACCCACAAAGGGCTGATAAGCCATAAAAAACATAAAAGTAAAATCAGCTAAGTAAAAATGTGGTTATTTGGCAAAATTGAAACTGTCCATTTGCTTTCATATTTTAATTAAGTATGAGGCTCAAAGTTCCCAATAATAAAGGATAAGTTGAAATGTGTTTAGAATAAACATAAAAACAACTTTAACATTATTATAAAAAAGCAACAAAATGAAAAGGAAAAATAAGCAGAAGAGTGCAAAAAGTGATTTGCACTTTAAACAGGCTTTCAGTTATGTTTGAAAACATGTTCACTTGGGCCAGTTTTTATTTTTATTTATAGCATCATTGACTTTTATAGGCCAATTTGAATTATTTCTATTTATTTTTTTTATTTTTTCCGGTGGTGGTGGTTGTCTGCATTTAAGTTATATTGCTGACCACTAAATTAGGGTATTTCATATACTCTATTGCTTGGGTCTTTTTTTTTTTTTTTTTTTTTTTTGTAAACACTGGCTATAATGTGTTACGAGGATGCATTTCTATAAAAAGGGATTCCTTTGAGTTCTACTTGTTATTACAAAAAAGTTTTCATTCATGAAGTAGTTCTAAAATAGTGAAATTAGAAATAGAATGTTTGGAAGATTCTAGATCATTCTAGTATATTCGAGAAAAATCTAGATGATTCAAGAAACATCTAGAAAAATGCAAATTAGGTGTTAGCCCCTATAAAAATGGGATTTTGGAAAAGGGTTGTCAGTTGGTGAAAACAGATTGCTGTCAGTATCAACTCCGGCTTTTGATTCAAGGACTATTATATCCAGCCGAAAGGATCTCTATAAAAAATTGCCGACCAACCAAAACCCAAAAGAGAATTTCATGGAACAAAGTTGGTAAATAGAATTTTGACTAATTTTCATTGACCAAACTAAAAATTAATATTTATTTACACACCTTTGTGGATTTCCAAATATAGCACTTAGATTACTTCACTAGCCCTAAAGTGATTTAAGATATTCGACTCCCTTTCCTTCTCCCTCGTAACACTTGCCAGTAACTCTGTGTTTTCTGTTGTGTAGGCCACAATTGTTTATCTTGTATATATTTTATGTTCTGTTTTAGTAAATTAAATATTTGTTTGTGATTTAAAAAAAAAAAAAAAAAAAAAAAAACGTAACAAAATGGGGGCTCGTCCAACTCTATAATATCGTACAAAAATAAATAAATAAATAAATAAACTCAATATACGTAATTTGCAAAAAAAAAAAAAAAAAAAAAAAAAAAGCTAAAACAAAAACATGCCTTTTTCCATGGAAAAATTTTTTAGGTTTAGCCGATGTGGGCAAATCATTCGAAGTTTTACAGAAATCGGAGCTATTACAAATTGCAGATTATTTCAGTTTAAATACAAGCCCGTCAATGAAAAAAGCAG